TGCCCGGGCCCCCCCCCCCCGCCTCCGCTGGCCCGCCCCCCTGGCAGTGGCGGCGAGGCCCGGTCTGCTGGAGCACATCGGACCTTGGGCTGCTCGGTCGGCTCCCGGGAGGCCACTGTCGGCCTTGGCCAGCAGCTTTGTTCGAGGGCCCTATTGGGCCTCCTCCTTTTGTGGCGCTCAATTAATTATTAAGGGAAATATTCCCGAGCTGAATTATAGATATGCCCTGTGCTCACTCGCTATCCGCGGGCGGAGAGCACCTGGAGGGCCTCTTTTCCTTGCTGTTTGGTTTCTCTTTATCTTTTTAAGTAACAACCACCAAAAAAGAAAAAAAAAATAGGATAGTATTCAGTAAAAAGAAAAGGGGGAGAAAACCTGTCGTGGGCCCTGGTTTTCTTAACTTCTTCGAGCTCATGCAGCCTGAACTTTGGCGTGAGAAAATGTCCCGGGACCTGGGCCTCGAACCCCTGCGGAGGAGCTGAGAGGAAGGTGTCTGCCCTCTGCCTCTAAGGCTTAGATTCAGCCCCTTTTAGGGGTCATTCTGGCAACTAGACTCGGCAGATTTCTCCGAATAGGATCCTGTGCACTGACCCGCAACACTTTCCTGTCACCCCCCAAGTGCTGTCCCTACGTGCCTTTCACAAACAGGACAGCAAAGAAATGCGCTCATCGTGGGCTCCTCAGAGGACATTTCTTAACAGTAGATGGCAGGTCCAAGGACATGGACCTTGGGAGCAGTTTCCCAAAAGCAATTTGTGAGATCAATGTTCAGCAGCTACGGGCTTTCAGGGAGATGAAAATGAGATGGACCGATGTCACAGAGATGACAGTTATATTGAAGCTTGGGCATCTTAATGGGAGCGTGTTAGACCTTTGTGAATCAGACTTCCCCGTTCCATTTACTATTTGTCCCCACCCTAGCCCAGATAGTTAAGTCCCTCGGGACCTTCCGGATACTCCTAGTTCTTAGGTATCAGGATATGAATTACTAAAGCAGAGTAAGAACTAGGAAGTAGGACCTTTCTCTCGGGAAGATGCTCATTCAAGGGACCAGCAGGTGGCGTGGTGGTGAAGGCGCTGGATTCCCACATGGTGTGACCACAGTGGGAGGCCCAGACCCAGCAGCTTTAAAATCATGCCAGCCAAGTGTGAGTGCCTGTCCAAGATCCCAAAACGAGAGGAGAAGGGATTGTAGGTGGCTGCAGTCACCCCCTGGGGGTGATTTCTCACTTTCCCTCTCTCTGTCTCTGTCTCTCTGGTGAGTGCACACGTCCAAACAAAAAAAAATAATAATAATAATAAAAGATACCCATACAACAAATACTTATGGAACACTTGATCAAGGCAGATAATATTCGTAACTAAACACTGTAGGTGGTAGGTTGTATCAGTATCACTCTTCTATCATTCTCTGAAGAGGGAAATCGAGGTTTAAGAAGGAAAGCGAACTTGCCCCAAGGTTATTTAGTTCTTCTTGTGTCAGAACCAGGCCTTAAACACCCAGCGCTCTGCCATGTGGACAGACCCCGCGCTGGTGGGGATAATTCTCTGGTCTCTGACCATTTGTGCACATAAACTAGCGGCTGTCACAGATGAACAGAAAGTTTATGAAGCGGGGTTTTATACTACGATGCCTGGGGTGCAAAGAACAGGGCAGCCTCTAATCTGGGGAGAGCAAGCTAGGATTCTCAAAGAAAAAGGTGGTGTGACCAAGAAAAATGTACCTTGCTTCGTCTCTTTAGAGAGGAAAAAAAATAAATGTTCGTGCCTTTCTTCGTCATCAACTGGTCAAAATCCTTCAAGTTTCTCACCTCCAAAGACATCCATTACCACGAATAAGTCATCTCTGGTTTTTGAATTCCCGGTGGCGGTACAAATGTCCCAGACCACAGTGGCCTTTAAATAGAGAGAGTCAGCAGCCACAGATGCTCCTTCACGCAAAGCATGCCGGGAGACCCTGGAGGGTACCCCCGCATCCTTTATCAGCGTGCTTGTTCTCTTTGAAGCCCGTGATCCACAGCGAATTGTGAGGTTCGCGCTACTCCTTCTTTATCTCCCTCACAAGCTTGAGACGCCAGTGAGAGCAGGTAGGTACTCTACCCAGTAACTGGCACTGTCCCGGACCCCGAGTAGATCAGGGATGAATGATGGCAGGAGCTTCCACTGGCCAAGAAAGTTCAGCGAATGTGTTAGAAAAGGACTAAAAAGAAAGGTCGATTATTTACCCGCTCACTTCAGCCTCCCAGCTACCCAACGCTTAAAGTTCTTTTGTTTTTTAATTGCCAGAGGGCACGTGTACTCTCCAGAGAGATAAAGAGACAGAGAGAGAAAGAAACAGAGAAAGCACCCTCAAAAGGATGGTCATATTGAAATCCTGTCCCTTCTTTCTTCATCTGATTGGGATTTGGGGCACATACATGCATGTGGGCTTTTCAGCAACTGTTGTGTGCTACTTCCCACCCCGTCTCTGCATATCGGTACCAGGCATGTCTGGAGACATCAGAACATGTTTATTTCCTACTACAGTTAGAACCTAAGTCTGTGCAGGCTGCTATAACAGAATACCATAAACACGGTGGTTTATAGATGAAAGGACTTTATTTCTCAGCTCTGGAGGCTGAAGTCCAAGGCTAAGATGCCGGCAGACTCAGTGCCTGACGAAGGCCCATTTCTTGGTTCGTGGACGGTGCCAGAGGTGGCAAGGTGACTCCCTAACACAGGCACTCGTAAGGTCACTAATGCCGTCCTCATGACCTCCCAGAGGTCCGACAGCCTAATACCAGATCTCTGGGGTCAGGACTTGCAACATGAGAACTGGACGAGGCAAACATCCGGACGGTCGCAGTGGGGAAACATCAGCCCTGGAGAGAAAGATTGACCACTCCCTGGCTGACGGAGCATGGCATTGTGCCAGGCATCGCAGGGGGGACCCCTGCTGCCACCCGGGGCACAGTTATGGTCTAGAGGGTGAGAGATGAGTCTCCATGCTCACGTAGTAAGGCTTGGATAGAAATCACACACAGTGGGAAAAGTGGACCTAATGGAGGTTATAACAAAAGTCCTTGGGGCAGAAGGAGTCCCACGCACAGGCTCACTGAACAAGAACGGTGTGCGTGAGGACATGCCGAGATAAGTAGAGGACCCAGTGTGCAATGGGACAGAGAAGGGCGTATGGCCCTAGCTATACCTCGCCTGAACCAGGGTGCATAAAAATCACCACACGGCTGGATTCCCAACCCTTTTCCACCTTCACACGCAGGACAGATGCAGTTCATCCGCACAACACTGTCCCTGGGGCAAGGCCGCATCAGCAGCTGCCCGTTGACTGACTTCGCCGGGTTGCAGGCGGTGTTTCCAGGCCTCCTGGCTACGACGCCATTCCTTTCTCCTCCATCTACAGGGGCATCTCAGAAGCCAAGTGGGTGAGCTGAACGGGCATAACTTGAAATCATCTGACTTAGTCATCCGAACAC